CATGAACTCTGAACATGGTCACCTGACTATAGTGTGTCTTTATCTTCTGTACTGGTATTTACATTCACAAAATGACAATGCCATTTGTAAATAGGTGAAAAATATTCAAACTACAGAAAAATAATAATCTTTTCAATACATTAAGAAATGTGTATTTAACAAAACTCACAAATGTTCAGTAATATTATGAACACTGGTATTATAAACAAGAAAATATTTTACCTGTGAATCATGTTTATGGCCTCCACTTAACAACTTCATCATCACAAAGTTTGTCTTCGCTATTTTAATTGCTTTTTGAACCTGTAATTTCAAAATTATCACGATTATTCACTTTAAACAATGAATAAAATCTAATTCTAGTTTCATGTTGTTGTTTTTTATAACACAATGTTACTTTATTATGTGGCATAAATAACATGTAACTATATTAAAGATATATTATGCTCAAATTTGATATTGAAAGGAAAAAACAACTGGTCATTAATATACAGTCTCTTTTGTAATATACAGTCTAACTTGCCCATGCGACCACGTGTAATAAGCGACTTTTGTCTTAAACGACCACTTTAAATTCCCCCCGACCATTTTCTCTCTATATCTTTAATGTATTAAGCGACTTTTACTCAACGTGACCAGCGACCGCTAATTAGTCACCTAATTGAGATCAATCTTTTCATTAAACGACCACTTTTACCTGTCAAGTAATTGTGTTTTTAGAGAACGCCACCTCGTAATGTCACAAGTGTCAACAATCAAAACACAACAAATAAACGTGTGAAAAACTCTATTTCCCAAACCGTTTTAGCATATGCAAATGAAGTTAAGTATACCCGTGACGTGTATTATCCAAAAATATCGGAAAAACAATGCAACACTCCGCCCCTACTGAGATGGTGTGTACGCTTCGCTTGTTGACATTTAGACTGCATTGAATTGACCTTGAACTTGATCAGCAATTAAATTAATCATAACAATTAGATGTAGTTTGTTTATTTCAAATGAAAAAATGCACAACAGAAAACATCTTCACTAATAGGGTTTACGTGTTGGAGACAAGGAAAAACAACGGAGAAGTTAAAAACTCTGGAAAAAATGTCAAACATGTACGTTATTTGTCAATAAATATCAGAAAGTTATTTTTTACATTTGCATCCATTTAGATTATCGTAGCGTACTAATTATTCAACATTTATATAAAAATGAAGTTGAAAAACATTCCCACTTCATAAGAAAGATGTCATTTATAAATTTTGACTTTTATATCATGCTGACTATCTTAAGAGACCGTTTCATTAAGCGACCGTTTTGGGTGTTTCCCTTGCGCGGTCGCTTAATACACGTTTGACTGTATAGTAAACATCTTTTGAATACACACTGAGAAAATATGTTACGCTTTAAACTCTACACACTACATGTAATCACAGTATGATTAAATAGTGTCTTGAAAAACCTGGCACTTTTTATACGATATACGAATTGACCAAACTTATTTGGCCAGTAATAAGGAATGCAGCTTTCCAAACATAGTTTATATGTTTATGTAAGTTTTCATCCGTGCTGTTCTTCAGAAATCAAAAATTTTGATGGAAGCGATTCAAGCGATAGCGACCGGAGAATATTTCTAATTTCTGTAGAACAGCTACGGATGAATACTAACATACTTATTGTCAAGCTTTATTTGGCTTCAATAATATTCACTTTATTATTCTTGACTATTTCAACAAACGCAGTTCTATGAAGCACTTGGTATGAACAAGAGGGCCATGATGGCCCTGAGGTCGCTCACCTGTATATAGGCCCGGAACGGGGCCAGTTTAAACCCCAGGGCTTTTATTTGAACAAACTTGGAATTAAGACACCCATTAGAAGATGTTTCATGATGTTAAGTTTTTGCTATACACATATAAGGAAAAACAATGACCTCCCCCTCCCCCCCCCCGGCAGAGTTAATTTTAACCCAAGGGCTTTTATTTGAACAAACTTGGTAGAAACCCATTAGAAGATGTTTCATGCTAAACATCTAAGCTCTAGCTCAATGGGTTTTTTAAAAGAAGATTTTTTAAGTTTTTACTATACACATACAGTTAAAAACAATGACACCCCTGGGGCGGGGCCAGTTTTGACCCAAAGGCTTTTATTTGAACAAACTTTGTACACACTTATTAGAAGATGTTTCATGCTTAATATCTAACTCTAGCTATTTCGGTTATTTCAAAGAAGATTTTTTAAGTTTTTGCTATACACATATAAGGAAATCAATGACCCCCGGGACGGGGCCAATTTAGACCCCAGGGCTTTAATTTGAACAAACTTTGTAGACACTCACTAGAAGATGTTTCATGCTTAATATCTAAACTCTAGCTATTTGGGATTTTTCAAATAGGTTTTTTAAGTTTTTGCTATACACATATAAGGAAAATCAATGACCCCCGGGGCAGGGCCAATTTTGACCCCAGGGCTTTTATTTGAATACACTTAGTAGACACCCATTAGAACATGTTTCATGCTAAATATCTTAGCTCTAGCTCTTTGAGTTCTTTAAAAGAAGATTTTTTAAGTTTTTACTATATGCATATAGGGAAAAATCAATGACCCCCCTGGTGCGGGGCCAATTTTGACCCCAGGGCTTTTATTTGAACAAACTTGGTAGACACTCACTAGAAGATGTTTCATGCTAAATATCTTAGCTCTAGCTCTTTGGGTTCTTTAAAAGAAGGTTTTTTAAGTTTTTACTATATGCATATAGGGAAAATCAATGACCCCCTCGGGCGGGGCCAATTTTGACCCCAGGGCTTTTATTTGAATAAACTTGGTAGACACTCATTAGTAGATGTTTCATGCCAAATATCTAAGCTCTAGCTCTTTGGGTTCTTTAAAAGAAGATTTTTTAAGTTTGTACTATATGCATATAGGGAAAATCAATGACCCCCTGGGGCGGGGCCAATTTTGACCCCAGGGCTTTTATTTGAACAAACTTGTTAGGCACTTATTAGAAGATGTTTCATGCCAAATATCTAAGCTCTAGCTCTTTGGGTTCTTTAAAAGAAGATTTTTTAAGTTTTTACTATATGCATATAGGGAAAATCAATGACCCCCTGGGGCGGGGCCAATTTTGACCCCAGGGCTTTTATTTGAACAAACTTGGTAGACTCTCATTAGAAGATGTTTCATGCCAAATATCTAAGCTCTAGCTCTTTGAGTTCTTTAAAAGAAGATATTTAAAGTTTTTTCTTTCGGTTGCCATGGCAACCAGAGTTCTGCATGGAATTAAATTCTTTGAACAATTTTTAAAGGTGACCACCAAAGGAACATTCCTGTGAAGTTTGGGTGAAATTGGCTTTGTGGTTTATGAGGAGATGTCATTTGAAGCAAAAGTTTAAGGACGGACGCCGGACGAAAAACGATCACAAAAGCTCACCCTGTCACTTTGTGACAGGTGAGCTAAAAATAGAAGGCAACTATGAACAGAATTTAATATAGTATCGACTTTCACTTTTCTATGAAAATTAACACACATAATTTTTAAGAAATATAGCGTTTTCAATAGATGACAAGTAAAGCTGGACACTAAATTCACTTGTTAAAGAAGGAACTATCAAACTGTCTGAGGTATTGAATCTGAGTTCTAATATTCTACATTTTATTTGTTTGTTTGTTTGTTTGACTGGGTTTTATGTCACACCGACACAGTATATGTCATGTTGCGATGTTCCAGCTTTAGTGGTGGAGGAAGACCTCAGGTGTCCTTCCTTGCATTATTTCAAGCACCAACGGGCACCTGAGTAGAACCACCGACGTTCCATAAGCTTCCTCACATGAAAGAATCCAATTCCGGATTCGAACCCACAGTGGTGAGGAGCTTCTATATTTTACACCCTAACTTACACATACCTCATCTGAAGGGCTTGGAATTGTTTCGTAAAGTGTTTTGGCTTGATGGAAGAATTTACAACTGGTAGTAAATAAATCAGCTGCGGATGGCATCGGAGAGTATCGTACCAAACTTGTCATTTCCTACAAGAACATATCATATATTATGTTACCATAAACAAATAAATACTGTATATGATTTACTGCAAAGTACATTACAAATTCATTTTTATTACATTGATTTTATTACCTACTCAAAATTGTTTGTTAATCATTTAGGATAATATGTGTCTTTTTTCTAAATATTTGCTAAAAATATTTCAGATATAAGTAGAACATAAAATTCATGTTTTTCATTTTGTGATTTATGGAACTTGTTGCATATCACTTTATTGCACTTTTTTGCATTATTTGACTCTATGTCTCTGTCACTCAGTGTGCTTAACCCATAACCTGCTGAATTTCTTATATGGACTTGTCCAGCTTCCATTTTCAGAGTGGTCCATAATCAATTTTAGTGATATCAAAATTTGTTTTTGTTTGCTTGTTTATTTCTGGTTTTCACATAAATTTTAACATATGTTTTTGCTCATATCTCAGGGGTCAATAACTTACCAGTAGCAACCATTTTCTCCTTGCAAGTGACTGACTACTAATCAAACAAGATTTAGGAATCAGCAGCAAGAGACAAATGACCATTAGACTCAATTTTGAGATCAATCTCAAAAAGAAATTACAACCTCGCCCATGGACCAGTTACCCTTGGATTACTAATCTAATGCTCTCCCTATTGAGCTTTGAAGGCGAACATATCCCAATGTAGTCGGCCAAAAGTACAGAGCCAGGTCAGACTGCACGGATGTGCAAGATGGGCTCTAGCTCTATAAAGGTGGCAAAAAAGTAATAACTTTCAGTTTCAGCAGGTTAAAGGTTATGGTCTTCACAAAACAGCTTAATACATATATTGGTTTTAATTTCAATTGGTTTCAGTATACATACCTTAAACTGAGAATAAGGAACCATGGGTGGTGTTGAGACACAGGCAAATGGAGCAAATCTGTGACTATACCGTACTTCTTCCTTATCATATTCAAAGTTCGGATGTTTTAATTTGTTGGCTAATTGTAAACCCATCACAGCCTGTCAATTAATACATTCATTTTATTTGTTTATTCATAAAATCACATCTACTTAAAGTAAATTTACTAGTTTAGACGAATGTACTCTTAAATAAATGAATGCATAAAAATTTGAATTTTTACATAGATCAGCTGGGGCACTTAAAACTGAACAATTTGCAAAAAATAAATAAAGAAATATGCTCAGAAATAAACTGAAATAATATGTTTGTGCCATTCTTACATCAATTTGAGTTAGAAGCATTGCAATGCTTTTGAATTTTGGATTATTTTCACAATAAGAATAGTCATTTTGGAAAAATGGAGAGTGAATTATCTGAAATTTTGCACACAAGTTATTTGGTGTAGACAAATGGAACATTAATGTCGAAAAAATTATTTCTTGACCCTTCATGTTAAGACATACATTTTGGATAATGACACACAATAGAAGAGACACAAGAGGCATCATGCTATTACAAAAGCTTACTTCTAAGCACTTTGTGCTCAAGTGAGTTAAAAAAAAATATAATAATAACAACAAACAAGCAATACTTTATAATATCCTCCGAACATGTTTTGTTGAGCCTGGCAAATGTTAGCCTCTTTCTGAACTCCTTTAGAACGCCTCTTCTTCTTTCCTTTCTTACTTCCCCTACCTTTACTGCTCACCATATCTGTAATAGTGTGAGCATTCAATGACTTACTTTTCAAATTTTACATAACTTTATTTAAGGATATAAAGATGAAAACAGAGGGTGAAACATTGAGAAATTATGTTCAAGACCTAATTTTACTTATATTTAAAATGTCAGATGATACTCTTTAGATAGCCAACTGCCCTTATAGAGTCTTTGCCAAACTTTTGACTTTCTATTAAACATAGACTGTCAATGATACTGTTTTTATAATCATTCATTTAAACAGCATGTCTAACTGGTTAAACACTACGCCTTCCTATGGAAAGTTAGTCAGAGACTAAGTTGGCTGCATTATAATAAAAAAATATTAAACATCTTCAACAGCTTAAATCCTTCCTGTGTCACTCCTTTTTAGGTTGGCACTTTTTGCATTGGAAAAATCAGTTATGGATTCAATACTACCACTGCTCTAAAGTATGCTCTGACAGATTAAGGTCGTCCACAATATTATTTATTTTATCATTTTGGACAAAGTATCAATGTTACAATTACCTATGTAGGCTTCATGATCTATAACAAAGGAATCTGCACGCTGAATGGTGGAAAATAACCAGGAATACAATAATTCATATAGATACCTGAAATAATAACAACTCATACAAGTACCTGAAATAATAACAACTCATACAAGTACCTGAAATCATAACAACTCATACAAGTACCTGAAATAATAACAACTCATACAAGTACCTGAAATAATAACAACTCATACAAGTACCTGAAATAATAATAACTCATACAAGTACCTGAAATAATAACAACTCATACAAGTATCTGAAATAATAACAACTCATACAAGTATCTGAAATAATAATAACTCATACAAGTACCTTTGTTTTTCTGACTTTTCTCATGATTTCGCTTTAAATGCTTTTCACATGTTTCATGCATTTCACAATTTAAGGCGAGAGATATTTGTATAAAAGCCACTCACATAGGCATTAAAACAATTAATAGGAGCAGATCAGTGTATAAGGAAAAAAGGAGAAATTTAATTAAAACGTGTTTTATTTTTTCTTCATAGTTGTTTAAAAGTTAAAATTAAAACTTAACATATGGGGAGTTCTCACTCTTCAATGTTGTAAAAGAAAATCATGACAGCAAGAAAGAGCAAATGACCTTTTCGTCTAAGACTTAATTTAATTAAATTTAACTTTGCCAAATGACCTAAGAAGAGCCATTTGGACTTAATACCAAACAAAACAAGAACATGACACACTGACCAGCTTCAGCTGAAATGAAATACATATCTACATCATTAAAAAAGTTATAACCAAACTTACCAATATACATAATGATATTCATATGGTGCATACAGCTCTAATTCGAAGCCTGACAGTGTATAATTGATCATGACTTGTAATGTATAATATAACACCCATGTACCAAAACTTGAACCATACTGTCTGTTAGGGTCAGTCTTCATCTGGACTTGGTGCAGGAAACCATCTACCTTATCAGCCTGTGCATTAAACAAAACAAAAAACATACCTAATTTTTTTGGTTTATATTGGGTTTGGTAAAATCTACAATGTGATCTACTCGAGTTATTTCTTGCATGTAGATCTAATTGCCACTGTATTTGTTTCACACTCATTGTGATTCTGATTTCTGAAGTTAATAAGGAGCTGATTACTTACCCTAAGATGAGATTAAAAATCAGATTATAACAGTCATTCTATATTCAAATCTTCAATCTATAAATCAGCTTATCCTCCAAAATTAAGGCTATAATTAGTGCTGCATGAATAACAATTATTTTACAGTAAAAAAAATAATAGATTAAAGCAAACCTCATCTTGTAGATTGGCCATCTCGTCCAGCAGGTGTGCCCACTTGTCACGTTGTCGTGCACGATTGTGACCAGTTATTTGTAACACTGTACATATAGGTCGCACTGCTCGGGTCATCAAAGCGTCAACATACTGTTTTACATCAGGATTGTTATAGATGGGTGCTCTGTTAAATATACAAACAACTCGGATATCTGAGTCGTGTCATGACAAAACCGACATAATGCGTTTGCGACCAGCATGGATCCAGACCAGCCTGCGCATCCGCCCAGTCTGATCAGGATCCATGCTGTTCGCTTACCAACCCTATTACAAATAGAGAAACTGATAGCGAACAGCATGGATTCTGATCAGACTGCGCGAAGCGCAGGCTGGTCTGGATCCATGCTGGTCGCAAACGCACTATGTTGGTTTTGTCATGACACGGCTCATTTTTTTTTTGGTTGGGTTTGATGTCACACCAACACAGTATAGGTCATATGATCAAGCTAGCTTTCTGAACATTGGTGGTTCTACTCAGGTGCCCGTTCAAGCATAGAAGGGCACCCAAGGTCTCCCTCCACAAGTAAAGCTGGAAAGTTGCCATATGACCTATACTGTGTTGGTGCAACATAAAACCAAACAAAACAAAATTTTTTTAGTTAAAATATTAATCTAAAAGTTGAATTACTGAGAAAAACTTGTATCTTATTTTAACAAGTCTGTAGTCTAACTAATGGAAGTGACCAGTACTGGCGTCAATGAAAAATGATTTTCTTTTTCACTTTAAGTAGTCTTTATTTTCAGTATGTAATAAATAGAATATCATATTCATGTAGCTTTATTACTGAATTTATTGAACTTGTTGAATAAAATAACATGAGCCGCGTCATGACAAAACCAACATAATGGGTTTGCGACCAGCATGGATCCAGACCAGCCTGCGCATCCGCACAGTCTGATCAGGTACCATGCTGTTCGCTTTCAGTTTCTCTACTTGTAATAGGGTTTGTAGGCGAACAGCATGGATCCATGCTGGTCGCAAACGCAGTATGTTGGTTTTGTCATGACGCTGCTCATATCATGCTTGCCAGTTGCCAGAGGCTCACTTCATATAATTTTTTTTAACTTGTTTCATAAATTCATTATTTAACTTACACACATTCAATATATTTGACAAAGCCTTTTACATAATATTGAGTGGTATTTAGTTTTACAAAAATATTACAAACTTTGGTGCGAGTGCAGGAGGCATGACAAATGCTCTCACAGAATCTTTGAGAAAGTCTGTCAGTGTATGTTTTCCAAATACTCTTCTACTTGGAGGTAAAAATGACAACTGAAAAAAAAAATACTACAAATATGGAAAACTGTATATAATGAACAATGCGAAAAATTTGACATAGTATTTTATCTTGTTAAAAGATAAAGGTAGGTAGGTATATGAAGATAAATAATGGTGATAACTAATCACTATATGCTAGATATTATATCAGCACGTAAAAAATGCTATGACCTCATTTAATTATTAGTTTTAACCATTTTTAAAAGGTTACAGTCATGTCCTAGAAGGGTGTCATGTAGACAACTATAATTATAAAAAGTACAAGTCCATTTTCTATTTTTCCGAGTTTAATTATATATATACAACATTAACACGAAAAGTTTCTATACACTATTATTGAATTCTATAAACTATAATCACTATAATATTTTTCTATCAATTCTATGTGTACTCCCTATAAACATTCAAATTCGACTCTATACACTCTTCTGGTCAGTTCTGCGCAGTGTAAAACTATGTTTATGTTGGTAAAAATACCTAAGCTTCCAATTTCTCCTGTACAAAGGGGAAATTCACAAAACCTGCTCAGAACAGTACTTAATCAGTATAGTTTAATGCTTTTTTTTTCCTCAATTATTTTCATTTTCTATTTTCTGTGCAACTACTTTACCTGTAATATAGACCTTGTTAACACACATGGTGACAGTTTACTGAATTCCTTGAACACTTCCTGAAAAAATATTACAAATAAATGTAAGACATAAGCACAACACCCAAATCTACCTTTGAAGTCTTTGATCAAGGGGAGGAATCACGCCGTTCGTTACCCAAACAAACAAGATGGCGGATACAGCCAAAAAGTAGGTTTTTCCCTTTTTTCTCTGAAATTCGTGATGTTCTTGTGTAAAGGTACATATAACAACCTTCTCCACAATTTTCCTGGCACACAGAAATTTATTTCATGAAGTTTCGTCCCGTACTTCTTCTGAAATGCGCGTCACCAGATTCGAAGCGAAAGAATTTTCCACCGGTTTGATCGTGGTAACGTACGGCTTCTTCACTCAAATTCGCTGTTTCTTTACATATATGTATATTAACTGAAACCACTGACTTTAAAGATTTGTAATATGTTGTCAAGTTATCATTCATGCCCATTTTGGCTAGATTTACTGGTGTAAATATTAATATCGGGGCATTTTCCGGAAATGATAACGTATGGCGTATAAAATATCAATGATAACGTACGGCGCATTTTTCTAACTTGGTGGATTTCTATTTGTCCAGTCAGCTGATAATTAAATTATTTGTATGTAGGAAATGATAGATATTTGAAACAAAAAGGTTGTCATTTCAGAAATAAGATTATTGAACAATGTTGCACCATCGGGTTATCAATATCTTCTAGCTAAAAATTTTTAAAAGAAAT